GAAAGAGGGGTGAGGGGGGAAGACTAGTTAATTCTCCAGTTAAACTACCCTTTTTGGTTTCTTGGCCATTATTTACAGTGGAGCTTCTGAGATATGGAAGCTGGCTAGTCTTTAGGGGGGGGAAGGTGTGAATATTTGAATCTCTCCGCTTCTTTTTTTTTTCTATGACAGATACAGCTACCAGATTGTCTTGTTTAAGTTTCTAAAAATATTGATTACAAAGCCCTATTCCAGCAGCAAGGCATGCCCAGTTAAATTCCTTGGCTTCTGTTTTTTGAATATTCATCACTGGCCAAGTGCTTCTGAGTAACAGAGGCACCTTGCACAGCAAGCAATGTGGGCTGTGTAGAGACATCTCAAACTGTTGAATACAGAGTGATTTCATTTTTTTAAAACTACAGTTTTGAGAAATAAAAATTGGGAGATTTTGTTTATTTAATGCCTAGGGAAGTGACTCTCTGGATTTTCTAATATATTGTAGGGGAATACGATTTAAAGTAAATCATAGAATTATTAGAGGCTACAGAGAGAACTTAAAACTCAGATAATGGTTATATATTTGCAATCTGGAGGTTTCGCATCACCATTCCTACTGAAGAAACACAGCCACCACCACTGTGTTCGCAGAGCTATCAAGAAAGCATCTCAACCTTTTTTTGAGGTATTGTTCGTTAGCAGATTGAAGCCTTCTGATATTGTTAACCTGAAGCAGTGTACTGTTGTACGTCTCTGCAAGCTGTATCTGTATGCGAGCTTCTCTTTAGTTACCTGTGTCATGTTACTGCTTCACTGTGGCAGCTGAGGAGGGAGTAAACTCACTTTTACTGATATAAATAGGTGGTTGCCAAGTTCTGTTAAGTGTACTGTAAAAATAACTATGCATAATGCCATTTCTAGTAAAATGTTACTACCTTACAGCTCCCAGATTAGCGTTTTTAAAAATTAATGGACCTCTATACTATAAAAGTCAGCAGCCTTACTGAATTAATACAGTTTCAAGTAACATTTCTTGCTAAATCTGGTGGAAGGGGATGTGAGGAGTTGAGAACACTTGTTCATGTCTCTAAAAACGAAGGAAATGGATTGTCAAAAGTAAGATGTGGCTTCATGGTTATTTTTGAATCAAACTTTCAAATTTAAGGCAGACGAGTATGGAAGTATTCTTGTGACCCTCAATTCAATCTCTTCATGGAATTCTTTATGCTCTTATTATCTCTCATGAGATGATATGTGAAAGTAATTTATTATTTCAGAAGGCTTTGGCAATAGTGGAAAAAGAATGGTTTATTAGTGTTATGTCTGTGGTGTTTATCTAATCAAATACCCTTGAAATATATGGCAAGATTTTCTTTTCAGTTGCAAGAGACCTTTATAATTTGATAATGATTTCAGTGACTCAGTCTTTCAAGGGCTGCAGAAAAAACAGTGGATATGAAATTCTCTAACTTGGATGTCTGTTTTGTGTATTTATATGATACTAATTGAAATTGTGCAGGGGGAGCTTGAGATTCCCCAATTTCATTTCCTTCTACCAGTTAAAATCTCCTGCTTTTGGCATCGCCAGCTCCTCACTGCACTCTCGTGCGCAGCAGAATGCTGTGGACAGGGACAGCTGCCTGTCTGGAGGGTCCTTGCCCAGAGCAGGGGGTAACTGCCCAGAAAAATTACTCTTTGAAAAGATGCTTGCTAGGTAGTTTACTGAGAACTTTAGAGTCTGCCACGGACAGCTTATCAAATTTTGACAGCTGAACAAAATATACCTTGCATTAGGCTTAGTTTTCCTTCTGTCAAGTTGCATTTGGCTTGTTCTCAGCTGCAGCAAAATTTTTTATGGCCTTGGATGTGCATGGCTGTTAAATTCTCGGTCAGGTTCTAACCAATGTTGTTCTCTTATGACTTAGAATTTTTCTTCAGGCTTACAGGAGAGTGCTCTTTACAGAGTGAATACTGTCGTCTTTCAGCTGAAACAACAGAGTCTGGAGCAGTGGAGCTCCATGTTCTGATTAGCAGCTTTCTCCCACTTGACTATCCAAAGGGACGGTGCTGAAGATCACTTCAGAGATAATCTAAGGAAATTCAAAACACTGTCTATTAAACTCTGTCTTCTCACAGAGCTTTAGTTTATCACGTGCCTGGTACCAAGTGCTTCAGGCTGTTTCATAGTAGTATGTTAAAATCAGAATACTGAAATTAGATTACAATTTTTACTGGCAGGAGGAGGATATCACAAGTACCAAATCATCTGTATTGAAATGTGATGTTCATTTAAAAAATACCACCACATAGACCTAGCTTCTGTAGCATAGTAGAGAGAGTATGAAGACCTAAATAAAATTAGTTCCCTAGCTGTCTGCAAAGTATTAGGGTAGAAAATCTCTGAAATCAAAGAATGAACAATGATTATAATCTGCAAAGGCTGTGATACTGTGTAAAGACTTAAGAAAATGAGAAACCTGCCTCAATCATCTTCCACCCACCTTTAGGACTTTCAGACAGGCTCAGTATCCACTTCAGAGGCATGACACCTGCTCAAGTCAGCTCCAACATAAGATGCCTGGAGGTGTTTTAACTGTTGGAGGGTTTTTGAAAAGAAATCTGACGAGTTTTGTCTTGAAATACTTAAAAACACTTCGAAAAAGAGATCGCAGTATTGCTAAAAGGTCTTTATAATTATGTTGTTGCCCGGTAACAGAAAGCGAATGTTTAAGAATGTATCTTTAACTCATCTGAAATCAAAATTAACTCTGCCAAATGAAATCTCTATCAGATGAATGAGTCTGTAGGTCAGTCAGTGTAAGGTGTTTTGTTTTCAGTTGTATATAGAGTTAAATTGTGCATGCAGGCTGTTTCTCTTCCAGAGATGAGCTAGCCACCCAGTGGCTTGCAGAATTCTTCAGGCAGCAAGCTGACTCCATTTTTCTCTTATTCCAGACTCAGAAACTCTTATGCAATAGTCTGTTAATAGCAATATTAGATACTAGACAGTCTGTATTTCTGACTCCGTCTGTTCCCTGGCTTTTTGATTTGCGGAAACTGTTGGCTGCCTTATTCTCTTCTCCTGCATTTGCTTAGTAAGCCCTGCTTTTTCTGTTGCTCATGCAGCCCTAGCCTCACTGTTGTTTGATTTTTACGTAGTATTTTCACCCCTTATTTTGGTTTTTATCCAGCTGCAAGGAGAAACACTGCAAGGGTTTTAAGGATGTGCACCACAGCGTCTGTAGTAGCGCAAAACCTGTGGTTTGAAGTAATTGCCAGCGTGGCTGTTCAAGGAACGTATTATGGCTGGACTACATGCTATAACTAGTATTGTTAATATAGCTCTGGCATTTGCCTCCTAACTGAAAACAGCTGTGGTGACCACTGATGCAATGAAATGTCAACCCTTTTATAGCAATTTTTATTAGGCTTATTATGAAAATAGCTGTCCAGGCAAAATTACTTCAGAATATACTATTTTTAATACATACCGTTCATTTGATTCTAGTACAGATGTAGAATTATTTGGGGTTAGTCCTGTGTTCCATGCTACCAGCTGCTTTCAAAGCTGGAACTGTTCCTGTGGTTTTGCAGTGGAGCCTGGAAGAGCACTGGCCAGGGAGCATTTGCCATATGCATACATAATCAAATTTGCCATATAGCTTGGTATGTTTTCGTGTTTTGCTGTGTTTGGTTTTTGGGGTGCTTTGTTCCTCCCATCCCCTCTCTGTCTTCCCCCATGCTCCTCAGACGTTCTTTGGTCTGAAGAATCTTTCCCACGAATTGTTTTACTTTTCTTCCCACCTTAACTCAAAGGACAGAACAGCATTTAAACAGAAGACCAAATGTGGTATAGTACATTTTTGAATCGGTGCCTAGGAGCAGCTAAATGCTTATCTCTCACCAGCTATTAATCCCCAGGAAACGTTTCATGCTGAGCTTGTTGTTACCAAAGACTAAAATGACAGTGGGGCAAAACATACATATTTTAAATATGCTTTTACTTCAGGATGAGGTATTTGTATGTGTACTAATTTAGGTCCTAATTGATGTATAGCACCCATTGTTTTGGGGTTCCAATAAACTATTAGCCAAGCCCATTACCTGGTTCTCACAGTATCACCCTTATTTTAAACAGTCTAATCGGTCTACAGTTTTGGTGAAGGGGTTTTGGGCTTGGCTGGCTCTGTCTGAGAGGGAGAAGACCATAAATCTTACACTTTTCAAACACCTAGTGATAAATTTTTCTTGAGGGTCTCAGCCAGCATGGTTCTAAGGACTCCTGACTGTTGTGGTGCTTTGTCCTCTTGCCTTGCCACTTTGAACTTCTGAAACTCAACTCTTCACATGAAATTAGCAAGAAAATAGCTGTTAAGTCAGATGCTTATCTTCTAATTAGAAGGATCAAAAAGGCAATGCCCAGACTTTTTAGTTTGCTGTACAGACTTGGGATCTCAGGCCAATAGCCTTCAGGAAGGCTGAAATTCGGTTGCAACTCCCTGGTCACAAAATCCTATTCTGAGTTCCTGCCTTCAGTTTGAGCTACTGAAAATGGTTGAAGAGAGTAAGGCTGAAAATTCTGGGGGTTGTCTTACAGGGTTTTTTTTGTTGGTCAGGTGCTTACTCATCAGCTTCCATTAAACACCTTTTGCAGCAATCTTGAAGGACCTGCTTGCCAAGAGTTTCCCCATGGGTGACTGTTTCCCTGTCTGATTTGTTCTTTGCTGATTGTGTTTAAAGTACTTAGGTTACTGACTTTCCAGCATGGTATGACTAACTTCCTTCCTCTGTCCTGGAAGAATTTTAGTTATGATGACAAGTAGAGACTAACAAGGTAAAGACTAGTGTTAAGATCAAATTGAGTTAATGACTGGCAGACATGCATGCATAATTTGTAATTTAAGGCTTTCATTGCATGCATCTGAATGGGATGCCTCTTACTATTGATTTAATGTTTGTCTAATGTGCAACAATACTTCAGCCTCTTCTGGGACTCATATGAGGGTAATTAGATAACTGTAATCAAAGTTGTTCCTCTTGTAAGTTGACTGATGTCAGTCCTGAGAGCAATTTGACTTTAGCTTAGGCTTCTGGTCTCAGAAACTATTGGGAATACTTCAGGAAACTTCCATTTATTTTTCTCAGAAGATGTTTTCTCATATTCTGCCCACTGTATAACTCTGAAGAATTAGCTGCTTGAGAATTAATTTGAATCTCGGTATTCTTTATCTCGTGTACGTGAGGTACTGGTGTTATACTTTGTACTGTTACTTTCAAGTATAACAATTTTGTTTTCTGGGTAGTAGAGCTTTTTGAGATCAAAATTCTGTATGATGTAAATAAGGCCCGGGAGGGATGATAGCTGCAAGTGGATGTGACAGCTGTATGTTCAGCATCAGGTTTCAGGCAGGTATAACCAGCCAGCAGGAACTACTGATGTAGTGGCATACCTTATGGTATTACTTGCAATGCAGATGTAAATACTCCTTTAGGCATCTTGTATATACAGATCTGATTTCTAATCTGCCTTAAAAGAAGGATGAACCTTGACATCCAAAATGCATGTGCACTTTTTCTGAGTTCAGAAGGCAGTTTGGAGAGTTTTAAATTACTCAGCCTGTTGTAAGTCCTGCTGGCCTGTTTCAGAAATAAACACATTAAAGAAGTTGTATGTCTTCTAATCTAAAAGAAACATGGAAAAACAAAGTGATGCCAGATTTCTTCCTTTAAGAAGAAACCAACAAAAACGAGGGTGCAAGAATGAAAGTGACTCTAGGACTGTTGATTAAATGAGCAACGAGCCAACTATTTTTCTAAATATCGTACATATGACACGGCAATGATTATGCACTTGCCTTTCTTTAAGAACTGTGTAATGACCAAACACTTGATCAGTAAAAGGAATGGTTCTGAAAAATATTATTGCAGTCTATATCTTTCTGTCATTTCCATAGGGGTCTCATTTAAAAAAAAAAAAGTTTAGTCACAGATGACAAATGGCACATGGATTTTAATTTAGAATACAATTTTTAAGAGCATTTAAGACAATGAAACGGCAAATGTGGGAATATGCCAGTGGGAAAACAGCTTTATATGTAGGTGTGTGCATACTTTTCACTTAGCAGCTCTTTGGCTTTCACTGCTGTCTTTAGGTAAAAAACTTGCTTCGGCACATTCTGTGTGAAAGCCCAAACTGGAAATCACGCATGAATGTTGTACTAGTTATTCTCATTTTAGCCTTACGTAGTAAAATTTCCATCAGCTCTGTAGAAACATGAAACTTTGAGAGAGGAAGAAGGAAAAAAACCCCAACAAAACAAGCTAAAAGTCTTAATGCTAGTGAAGAAGCAAGTATTGGTTGGAGTGCAAAATACAACCTTTCTTTCTCCCTCCACAGAGTTGAAAGATCTACTGACCAAGTAATCAAGCCAGTCAATGTGGAAGCATTGTCAAAGTGGGTTGGGAAGATACCTGCTGATGTCCTGCAAGATATGCCAGTGATTGCACCCATGCTAGCAAAACTGGGCTATGATCCCTATGCCAATCCACCAAATTACGGAAAGCCAGATCAAAAAGTTGTGGAAAACACAAGGAGGGTAAGGCATTTTTGTGTGTTTAATTACTGACCAAATGGATGCAAACTATAGAGTGGAAGAGTCTTGTGGGTTTTGGTTTTTTTAAGTCTGTTTGTAATACCTTTTGATACTTAGCAATATGTTTTCCTTGCCGTGGGGGGGGAGAAGGAAGAATTCTGTGGGACCTTGAGCACTGAAAGTCTGGCTCCTGTTGTTTGTCTTAAATTTGATTCTTCCTCCTTTACCCCAACCCCAGGCTTGAGCTGTGTTCTTTGGTGTGTGTAGCTGAACCTCTTGAGAATCATCACAGTTGGGGAACTAGTTAGTAGTGGAAAAAAGCTAGCTTTCTCTCCTGCGCATCAAACTTGATTGAGCTCAGCTTTTTATACATGAGGGTTGGCAGAAGCTCTGTCACAAAATTACACACCAAATACTTGGTAGAATTTGAAAAGTGACCCATGGAAAATGGCCCAAGATGATCAAAATGTCAGATTTTCCGCTTCTTTGCTGTCCTTTGTAGAACAAACAAAAGATGGAGGAAGGTCTGGTGCTGATTAACCTAAACTTAAGGATTTTATTCCGAATTTAATGTTGTTGGAATTTGAGTAGTTAGGCTATACAGCTGTTTATCCCTGGAGGTATCCATTGAAAAGCTCATTACCATTGTTTGAAATAAGAATAATTAACTCTTTACTTCTGTTCTTTTGAGGATGTATACTTTATTAAAAGAAGGTGACTTTTGCTGCTGGAGCAAAGTAATCATTGGAATAATTGAATTAAACAATTTAAAAGGACTGTCTTCCACTAGCCTTCTGATATTAAAAAAAAAACCAACTGGTTGGTATGTTGATGGGCTAGATACTAATGAAAAAAAAAATTGCTTTTTGTGAAGTCTCTAAACATTTTTGTGTTACTTCTTTTTAGAAGCCCTCCCTGGGAAACTGTCATTAAACAGTTGATCAGTGTATTAAAGGATGGCGGGTTGACTATTTTAATAGTTGTTAGCTCAGCATGGAAAAGATAACCCACCTTTTCTGGTGGGGGTAGTGGTTAGCATTTTATAGGTTTCCTGGTACTTACTGTTTTAAAAAGGCTCACAGACAAATTAACTTTTCTGCACTCAATTCAACCCCTTTAAAAAAAAAAAGTGTTCAATACTACTTCACAGAGCCTTGAAAACAAAATCCTCATGCACCTACCTGTACATACTAAAAACAGTGACTCAGATCAAAATTTGTATTGTAGTACAATAATTTAACGTTGGTTATCTCTTACTGATACAATTTAAATCAGTTTTTACAGTATGGTGACCTTCCTGAGCCTTCTACCTGTGCATGGCAAGCTCAGTCTGAATTGTAAAAATTGTATGGATTTCAGTCGCTTACTGTTGGGTGGCTTCTGGAGATCTATTTGAGTTCAAAATGTAAGAGGGAAATTCAGGTAATAAAGCCACAAGCATACCTTTAAAAAAAATTAAAGCCGAATTAAAAAAGCTAAAGTATATTGAGGCTTTTTCACAAGTTTGCTTTGAAATATAATTAGTTTGTTTACTAATGTTAAAAACAACTGTGAAAAACTGGAGGTTACTGTTATAATAGCTGATCCAAATATTGCAAGCATATGGAACACTTGTTAATATTTTGACTGCTATTTTAATTTAATACTTTTACTTACAGCCCAAGATAGCATTTTAATTTTGTTATTTATTGTAGTACCTAGTGTATATTTTCCTAGTCACTTGTTCTTTAACAAAATTACTTTTGCATATATGGTTTGTATAGATAAAAGGAGGGAGATGTCCTGAATTAAGACTAAAATCCAAAAAAGCAAAAGGATTAAAGATGGCTAATCTTCAAAACTTACAATATTCCTTTTGAAAATGGAGAAGCATGAGGCTGTCAAAATGTCGTGTACCCCAAGGAGCCATTTAGAACGTCGGCTCACATCAGTGTTTGAGTTTGCATTTGGAGGGCTTGAATTCCTCCCCAGTCACTTTGCTTTGTTTCCTCCCAGCTGGTTCCCAGCAAATCCCTGCTCAGACCATTGGGTCCTCTGTCTTCCTCTGTGACTGCGGAAACGTTGATGTCCTGACTTCCTAGGGTTTCAAGATTTAAGGCTTCCCAACTCCCATGCCAGTTTGCTTCTTAGGTTACCTAATTCTCAGGGCAGCAGGCCCGTCAGCCTCTCTAGAAGTGCCAGCCTTCCTGGCCGTCGTGCATCTTGCACAGTAAATAGCCAAAATGCTGGCCACTGAGCTTGGCCTTAAACCGAGTAAGTCTTGATATTCTTGTTGGTGATCAGTGGGAGCTGACTCACTTCTGAAAAATGCTTTGTTTTGGTTTCCCCAGGGCTTTATTTTGTTTTTATTTGGGAATGGGGGACAGATATTTCAAAACATTTTAAGGTGTTTGGGAAAAGTCAGGGGAGGGAGGGAGGGAGAGGGGGAAGGGTGATGTGTTTTGCCCATCAGGCATAGCATATGCTGTGCTGTGCATTTCCCCTTCTCTTCCATGAACCTGTGCTAATCTATTTGTTGCTGCTACAGCTTGGAGAGGAGGGCATTTATTTAAAAAAAAAAATTAAAAATTTATTTAGATTTTTCCAGCCTTTAGGAATGGCACTTGACAAGTTTTGTGTTATGCATACTCTTAGCTGGTGAATTTGTAAATTACTGTAGTGCTGCTTTTGTTCTTGCTCTCTTTTTAAATTTCTTCACCTGGGATAGTCTTTCACAGAGTTTTGTAGTGGGTATATTGTTGGAGATGAGGCTGTCCAAATAAAATCTTCCCAAAGTTACTCTTCAGTACATAGTAAGAATCTACGTAAATCTTGCAGGTAACTGTTTATCGCACACTTTGTGTTGGAAGCTGTTCTATTACATTTATATTTCTGGTCTCTCAGAACTTTGAGCACAGTGACGTGCGGAAACAAACTTCACAACCCAAAAGAGTTATAAAGCAGGTATGTTTACTACGGTGCCGGGTGCAAGGGGGATAGCTCCTCCTAGCTTGCACACCGCGGGGACGGACATGAGGGTATTTATGACATTAATTCATTCATATGCATAGAGACGTGATCCATATTCATCATGTTACCGAGGAGTGGGGTGGGGTTATTAAAATAAGCCATTACCATATTTCTCCTCCTACTGACGCCTGCGCACTGCTATCTGGTGGTCGCGGGCTGGGGTCTCTTGGAGGAAGGCCCGAAGTCTTCCTCCTTATGAACTTTTCACCTTAGGTGGTGGCGTATGCTCTATGCTCCTTCAGGTGTTGTGCCAACTACTAATCTAGTCTAAACCGCTATACTTTCTCATTAGACAGATTCTTGTGACAGCAAGCATGATATATAGCAAGATGTGTAATAGACAGCTGGATGTGTAGATAAGCTGGGCTTGCAATTAGAGGCAATCTCCACATTTCGGGTACAGTAAGCCAGATATACAGCAGGATGTGTAAATAAGCTGGGTTTGCAATTGGAGGCTATCTCCGCATTTCAACAGAACTTGAATTTTATTCATTGAAAACAGATAAAGTTTAGACTTCCAAAGCTGAACTGTATTATGTTAGTATAGTAACCCCTTAGAGTGACTAACTTGAAATAATGTTGAATTATCGGACACTTGCTACTCTGATAGCGTCGCAGTTTAAAATGGCATGAGCTAGCCCTTCAGATGAAGGGTTACCCCTGTTTGGCAAAGAGAAAGCAATAGTAAGGGGGAAGGACTGGTTTGGTCAGGTTTTTGTGTGTGGTTTTGAGGGGGGGAGGGAGTTTCTCAGTTTTGTGGGGGTTATGTAATGCTGGCTTAAATTGATTGTGGAAGTTGCAACAACGGGGTGGAAGCCCAACACCACTGAAATTACTGGCAGGGGAGATTCTGGCTCCACCTAAAGATGGAACAACACTGTGTCATCTAGTTCATTGTTATCAGATACATTAAAAAAACAAATCGGTTCTTGTTGTTACAGACAGTTCTTGTTTTGTATGATTAAAAGCATTTTTATACTGTACATACAAAATCATAAAGATAAGTGGAATGAAAATACGAAAACTGGTCAGGGTGCAAAACATACTTGTAGCTACAAAGCCTCTTTTGAATGCAGACAGTTCAGTATTTTATGATTAGAAGTCTGTGTATTGCCCAGTTGTAGAAGATAATTTAAAAAATCCCAAACTTTAAACTGTATGATGTCTTTGTTCGAAAATGTCCTTAAATGCTGCTTGTAGAACTGCATTTATACTACACTGCACTGAGCGAAATCTATCGCTTCTTGGAAAAGACTACAAATTAGACTTATACTCCACAGTGAAAATACTGTTCAGCAATTTCAAAGCTGCTGCTGTTAGTTCCAAAGGTAAGAACCGACAGTGTAAGGGTGCCTAAAACAAGGGCTAATATTGGAGAAAAATGGAAGGCAATGGCTAGTGTGGTGCAAAATACTAGCTTCCCCGAAGCTTTCTAGGCAGTTAAGTCTTGTTCGTGTTTTTCTTCTTTTCTCCTTTTCTGTCCCTCTGATGGTGACTTGCATATGTACAGGTTAAATTTTTTTTTTCCTTCAGTCTGGAAACAAAGTGATGATTCTCACCAGCTAAAGTACAATGCTTGAATTACATTTTGTATGTGCTTTTAGGTAATGCAAGGAAAACAATGCTTTCTGCTAAATTTGGGGGTTTCACTTTAATATTACCTGCCTAGGACACCAAAATGGTTAGGTTGGTTTTCCGTGCTCCTGTAATACAGCACAAAAATAATAAGATGCAATCAGTGTTTGTACTTTGTCATCTTTAGTTCTGGTTTTGTTTTAGGAAGTAACAGAGTGTGAAGCTAACTTCATCTCTTCTTATGTTGGTCTCCAAGTGCTATGTGGTGTTATGAAATAAGACATCTGACAGTATCCGCGCTGGTGGAGTACAAATCTAACATGAGTATAACAGATTTTTCTGATGTTTTCAATAAACAAAGCCATTAACTCTTTGTTTATCTGTTTTATGTTAGGCCTGACAATATTCTTTTATGACGC